AAAACACTGTAATTGAAAAAAAAATTATCCTAGAGAGATGTTTCACACCAAGTCCTAAGATGCAGAATTCCTTGTGAGATTTTTTAAACAAGCTTTTTAATTTTGTTAAATCTTATATTTTATTTAAAAACAATGAAAAAAAAAAGTCTTGCATGCCAGTGTAACAGTTCAGTGAATGAAGGTACTTAGAACCAAGCCTGATGGTCTCTGTTCTGTTGCTAGGCCATACATGGTAGAAGGAGAAAACAGACTTCCAAAAGCTGTCCTCTGTCTCCAAATGCATGAAGTTTAGTTTGATCACTCAAATAAGTAAATGAATAAAATACAATTTTTAAAAAATGTATTGGTTTTTCCTCAGGATATAATTTGTCCTTCTTGACTTAATGTCTTTCTTTACTTGTTCCTGTTGAGATAAACATTATTAGAAAGCAACTTGGAGGGAAGTCAGGGCAGGAACTTAAGGTAGGAATATGGAGGCAGGAACTGAAGCAGAGGCCATGGAGGAGTGCTGCTTACTGGTTTGCTCCCCATGACTGGCTCAGCCTGCTTTCTTATACTGTCCAGTGATGTCATTGTCCACAGTGATATGGGCCCTCCACGTATATCATTAATCAAGAAAATAACCCCAAAGTTCTATCCGCTGGTCATTCTGATGGAGGCAATTGCTCAATTGAGATTTGCTCTTCCCATATGTCTAGGTTGTTAACAAAAACCAATCAAGACACTGTGTTATCTTAGGAGTAATTTAAAGTATTAAGCCCCACTTTTGTAAACACATGCATGTAAATGTAATGCCACATAGAACATCATAATTTTATATATAAGTCAATATAATGATTTGTCAAACTCACAGATACTACATAAGCATATGACATTAAAAAGTTAGAAGTAACACATTAAGTATCTATTCAGCATTCATTTGATAACTGCCTCCCATCAGCCTAAACGAGGTTAGATTTTTAAGTTTTACCTTTTCCCAGGAGACACTGATTCTTGCAATGTAGATGGTGAAGTCTGGCTATTCTTTCCAAATATCCCTTGGAGATATTTAAACAAGTGGCCCTTGCTGCTCTTCAATATGTGGTAGCTAAGGATGAAGTCAGCTTATCAAATAACTCAGTGTCCCCTCAAAATACTTCAGCTGTATGTTTTTATGAGGCAAGTGTCCCTCATTTAATCCCAGGGTGTCAATACAGTATTGTTTGCTCTTACTTTCTGGAATAACCATGTTGAAATCATACAGTTACTGGCAGAAAATTACCAATTCAGTAAATCATTTAGATACTAAAATATAAAGGGAAATTAGAGCTAAAGCCTAGGGAATTAAGTCTTAATGCCTGGTACCAAGGCAACTCATCATGGAATTTTATTTTATAACAATCAATCTTTACGGAAACAATCTAGGATTGCAAGAGCCAGAGAGGTCAACAATATGACAAGGAAACACACAGGATCAACAACCTGGGATCATAAGGGCTCACAGAGACTGAACCGGCAGTCAAGGAGTCTGCATCAGTCTGACCTAGGCCCTCTGCATGTATCTTACAGTTGTTTAGCTTGGTCTTCTTGGGGCCCTCCTAACAATGGGAGCAGTGGCTGTCTCCTCTGACTCTTTTGCCTGCTTTGGAAATGCTTTTCCTCCTACTGGGTTATCTAATCCATCCTTAACATGTGGAAAGGAACCTAGCCTTATTGAAACTTGAGATGCCGTGTTTGGTTGATATCCGGGGAGGTCTGCTGTTTTCTGAAGGGACATGGAGGAGAAGTAGATCTAGAGGAGAGTGGATTAGGAAGGGAGAGGGGAGAAGCAACTGTGGTCAAGATGTCAGGATGTAATACATGAGAAAAAAATAAATTAAAAAAGAAAAATGTTCTCAACAATATAAATAAGCGATGAATTCTTATTAAACCTTTTTAAAGAGTCAAAGCTTCTAGTACCTCTATACCAAGTTATAAAAGAGCATTGCACAGTTGTACAATAACTATAGAACCAGATCTGTAATTCTTTCTTAAAATTAATTGTTTGTGTGTATGAGTGTTTTGTCTACATGTATATATTTGCACCATGCATTCAGCTCAGTGCCTACGGAGGCTTGAAGAGGCATTGAATCTCCTCAAACTGGAGTTACAGATGGTTGTGAGACACTGAATGGGTCCAGGGCCTAAAACTCAGGTGCTCTTAACTGCTGAGCTAGGTCTAGACTTAAACTTTCTTTCTTTCTTTCTTTCTTTCTTTCTTTCTTTCTTTCTTTCTTTCTTTCTTTCTTTCTTTCTTTCTTTCTTTCTTTCTGTCTTTCTTTCTAAATTTCTGGAGAAGCCCAAAGTTGTGATGTACAGTACTTGTAATTTTCTCAAATGTGAGTTTAATTACCATAACCCATGGAAAGTAGGAGCTAATTTGCATTGTTTACTCACTGTTGCACATACACAAAAGTTTCAAAGTAGTAAAAACATCGCAAGGAAACATTCAGTGATCTAAGAACCTGTGGTAAATAATTGCCCTGTGCTGGGCACTATGACCTAAATGTGGATCTCCAGCCACTTGGCAGGAGTGTATGCTCTTATGGCCAGGAGCATAAGGCCAGATGAGCAAGCACAGGAAACTCAGATCGTCTCAATGACGAGCTGCCTGTGGTGTGGACGGGTGCCATCATCTGCCCTGAGGATGCGGGGAGTCTCCTCTCTTGCTTCTCAGGCTTTTACACTACCCTTATTGCTTTTTCCTCCAAACTTAGTTTGTTCTTTCTGTGTTCACTTTCGTTTTGGCATCTCAACTATAATAAAGCTAATACACACTTCAGCTGTGAGTATTATCAGACAGAAAAAGAGAGACCAGGTGGAAACTGAATCCTCATTTGCAAGGGCATGCATAGAGACATACCAATGCAAAGAAAGCGTGTCTTCAGTCGGAGCTGACCAGGATTACTGCTTGAGACACAATTTCTCAATTCACTTTCATCTTTATTGAAGTTTCATGTTGCTTGGTTATTTCCTACATAGCTGCAATCTAGAAGGCGTGTGTGTACCTATTAGCTATCTTTAGGTTCTTTCTGGTCACTGGAGGCTGGTAGGCAGGCTCAATAATACTTGAAATTCATGGGTTTTGTGAGAATCTAAATACTTTCAGCCAGTATTATCTGTAGCATATACAAAAGTATTGAGAAAGTAAGTGAAGCTTTTTATAGACACTTAAAACACATAACGTGTATTATGTGATCCATTATTATTACTGCCATTTTCCTTACATTGTTAATATAACAATCATGTCAAATTACTACTGGAATTACATTCGTTCTAATGCATAGGACCTATGCACTAGACCTATGCACTTTGTGTATCTGTATATATATTATTTTATGATATTTTTGTGAATATAAATATCTTTTAATTCCCATTATTATTCATTTGACATCTGTGTCTAAAGAATAAATAACATATTGGCTATTTCATAATTGTGTTCTAAAACATACTACATGAATATTAAATATTATTAAAATTAGAATGTTAATAAAAACACATTAAATATTTTTAGCAGACAATTGATTTGGATTCTAATGCTTTCTTGTACAGCCAATTTTTATTTACACACTTGAAACCCAATATGAAGATGTCATACATTTAGAATTTGTTGCAAGAAAAAAGAACTAATTTAGGGGCATAGTAACTAATTTTAGAAGGAAATACATTCACCTGTATCACTTTACTTCATTTCATAATGGTATAAGCTTACACTATTATTACGACTATTTTACCTGTGACAAAAATGCAGCTGAGAAAGTTAACTTTTGTCCACACCCCAGTTCATTTCTTGTTCCCCAGTTAATACAGCTTTCATCTTCACATACACATTAACCTTAGCACACTGAGTTTTAGATTACTTTGTTCCTCCAAAACTGAAAGCCAGCTCTTCTCTGAACATTAACGCCCCGCGTAGCTGAAGCAGTTGTTGGGGTGCACACTTATAATTCAAACATCTGTGACTCGGAGGCAGGAACATGGTGATTTCGCAACCTGCCTGTGCCCAACTGGAATTTGAGAATAGCTTTTTCTTCATAATGTGAACTGCCATAAACAATGAAGTCACCAAATCCAACCGTCTGGATTGTTGAGAATATTTATCTACTAGTATGTTATTTAAGACAAACAACACCTGAGGAATGGAAGAACAGAATGAAGATAAAGAGGAGAAAAGTATACTTTTTTTTCTCTAAGATGTAGTATTTTTTACATTAGGCATTCTGCTCATTAACTTTGTTACATGTTATTTTAGCAATCATAAAATTGAATCATTAGAAGCAGTGAAAAACAATACATAGTCCTTCTAAAAATAACCCACTCACTGTCAAATCTATTTGGAGACAATGTTTTTTAGTAATCACTAGAAATAAAAAGAGACAAATAATTAATAGCTAATTATTCAATAAATTTATATTAAAAGGTCATCAATGTTGAAAGAATCCCAGAGAAGTTTCTTAGAAGGTGTGATATATTTGTTTTTAAAATTTATTGTCCACACGGGGCCTGAAAGATGGTTCAGCAGTGAAGAGACTTGCTGCTCTTTCACAGAACTTAAGTTCAATTCCTAGCAAGCAAGTCTGGTGACTCACAACCACCTCTACCTCCAGTTCCAGAAAGAAACGATACCTCAGGCTTCTGTACCTGTACTCATGTGTTACATGCATATATTTTTTTAAAAAATAAAGCAAAATTTAAATAAAGCATTGTTCATATACTGTCAGATGTTTGACAAAAATTTCACTCCCACTATTCATTAGGAAAATGCAAATAAAATTCCCAATGGACTATTGCCAAACTCAAATAAGGACAGTTATTATAAAAAATAACCCTGAAACCTTTTTGGTAGAATGTGAATTCATACAGCCAGTATGGGAAAGATATAAAAGTTTCATCCCAAATTACAAATATAATTATGATAGAGTTCAGTGATCCCATGAGTAGCAAGAGCCAAAAGGAATGAAGAAGGTATGTTAAGGAAATACCTGCATTCCTGTGTTCACTGCAGCTCTGTTTACAGTAGTCAACACATGGAAACACCAAAATGGCCATCAGCTGAGGAATGGATAAACTAAGTGTTGTCCATATGCATAGCAGAATACTATTCAATCATACAAAGGAATTCAGTCCTGTCATTTGAAACAACATGAATGGAATTAGAGATTATTAAGTTGAGCGAAATAAAACAGGCACAGAAAATCATGTGTAGAACGTTAAAATGTTGATCTCACAGAAGTTGAGAGTTGAATTGAGCTAAGAAAGGGTTGGTGAAGATAATCAGCACATACCAAGTTATACATAGATAGGAGCGAGAAGCCCTGTTGTCACTCTTTAGGAGAATGACTACAGATGATGGAAAATCTATGTGCACTTCTAAAAGAAAAAAATACGGCTTTTCATTTTTTCACCCCTAGACAGGATATTTGAACAGATATATATGTTTGACCTGATTTATATATTATACAATATAACATGTATCGTTTCATTACAAGATATCCCATTAATAAGTACACATTTTGTGTTTTTATGTTGTGGTTAGAGTAAATTCAAATAGAAAGCAATAATGAAGGCTGGCAAACAATCTAAAGAACCTTATTCCAAAGAAGAGAACTTGAGCTTCTCTCTTGCCCTTTTACTTTACTACGTCGTGTGTCACTAAGAAAATGCTGAGGGGCTTTGGGAAGGGAGTGTCACCATTGCCACAGAGAATGTGGAGAACATCAAAGTGTCACATAGGCAGGCTATGAGGGTCCAGGGTAGGGAATGTGATCTCCCCCATGTGAGGCAGACAGAGTGAGGCAGGGGAGAGAGAACATTCTCATTAGAGGTGGCAGGAAACTTGCATCTAGTGGGGAACTTGTCTCAAGAAGGATTCTGAGAAGAGAAGCCATCCCTCACCAGGTCTCTCCTATTGGAAAATCAATATTTCATCATATATCAAATACTACTACTGTGAAGTGGGAGACATAGTGGATCAGAAACATGAAACATTATTGGTGTGTAGCTAGCTAATCAAGTTTATGGAATGTTTGTTCTCTCTCCCTCTCCCTTTCCCTCTCTCCTCTCTCCTTTCTCTCTCCCCACTTCCCCTCTGTGTATGTGTAAATGTAAATCAGAACCTTGTAAGATGTGTACAAATCAGACACCTTATTTTCCCTCAGCTTCTGTCTTTACCAAGTACAAAAGACCCAGATGTAAAATGCACAATAAGTGTAGTAACCTTTTCTCTCTCACTGCAAACAATCTTTCAAGAACCAATTGATATATTCTGCATAAGGAGCTAGGAAATTAATCACCAAGAGAGATGCAGAAGACCAGTGCCTGTCAGTCAATGACACTATTGTTTATTAACTCACCTATTCATCAGGAAACCAGAACGGCCAGACAAATGGAACACATTACTCTCACAGCAGGGATTTTTAAAAAATGTTTAAGAAAGGCTGGTTCCTTCTTTGGTGCTCTTAACACATGATTGTATGGCTTCACACACACACAGACACACACACACATGGGGGGGTGGGGAGAAATGTTTCTGTGTGGAAATTGACCCTAATTCTTTAGTAGGGCTCTGATATGTGATTGCAGAACAAAAACATTCGATTATTTTCATGCTTCCTTAATCATGTGAGTGTTTGCTCATAATGTCAAATGGAACTTGGAAATTAGACTGTAAATGTAATCATTTGCTCTACAAAGGGCAACAGTCATGCTCTGTGACAAATGTGTGATACTTTCATCTGTGTCTTTCAGGGTCTGAGTCAGAAATTTTAGACTAATAAGTTTTTTTTTTTAAATATCAAAGTAAAATGTATTTCAGAGTAAAATAAAAACACTACAATGTGTTAAAAAGTATTCATTCTTTTTGCTACAGAATAGAAACTAGGGTAAATTTGTTTGAGGTTCCATGTTTTCAACCAAATTTCTTTAAGGTTGTGACTGTCTACAATTATTTTTATTTATAGATTTATGTTTATGATTTTGTGTGTGTGTGTGCACGCGAGTGAATGCCTCTAATGTGCTTGTATCCACGGAGGCCAGAAAAGGGCATCAGATCCCCTTGGAACTACCAGAGGCTGTATAGATACCTCCCAACTCTCCCCACTCCCAGCTGAATGCCTGGATCCAAATTCAGATCCTCTGTAAGAGCAGAAAATGTTCTTAACTGTTGAGCCATCTTTCCTGCCCCTCTACTGCCCTTTGCTACGTAATTATTAAAAATATAAATTCTCAAACAAGAAAAAAATAAGAATAACATGCGGGACAGAAAACTTTCTGTTCCATATTCCCTTCGCTTCTAGTTAGCAGTATGAAATTAATGTCTTCTCTATAGAGTGGGGCTACTTGCTTTGTTTTGGCTTTTGGTCCTTTTTTTGGTTTCTCTTTTGTTGTTGTTGTTTAAAAGGTGCAGGTGCTTAATATTAGTGTTTCTGTAAAACTTCTGGCCCTGTGTTTGGCATGTGTGTGCAAAACAAAAAGACTGCATCATAATTACCACTACTATGTGAATGTTCTACCTTTATAATAGCTGTGAATCTCATTTTGTAAATTGCCATACAATTGCATAATTCCACACATTTATTGCAGTATTCTTACAATAAGAACTAAGCCTTCCTGAGGAGCCAAAAGAAGTGACAAACATTTTCAGTTACAGGTGTAGTTGAATTGGAATTTGAAATTAAATTTTTGGCCCACTCAGACTTCTGACCAGTGCTCCGTATTCCCATTAAAACCAAACAGAACCAAGCCCTGAGTATGATGTATGAACTCAGGGAGAGAGCAATAAAGGATGTCTTTCCAAGGACATGTATGCATTTGAAACAGCAGCCCAAGTGATTTCAAATGAACAACTAAACATGTAAAGTCAGTATTTTAAAAATGTATTTCAAAAACATCGATTTCATTCATTGAAATATGTCATTTTATGTAAACTTCATTTAGAAATGGTTAGCAATTTATTTGTTATCAAGATAAATGGCTTTGGTTCCATTAATAAACCAAAGGTGAACACTGTCTAAAATTTACATTACAGGAAGTTGTGCTTAGTAATTGCAAAATAACTCTATGTGGCTTGCACCCTCTCGTCCCCTTTTTTTTTTTTTTTTTTCTTTTTCTCGTGTGGCTTTTACCTTATTTCTCTGCAGGGTTTTTGTTTGTTTGTTTATTTGTTTAAGTGCCCCTACCTCTTTGCTGAGGTTATGGTTACTTGAAGATTTCCTATCTCTAGGCCTGTGAGTTGAAGAGGCATTTCCAATAGTGTATTCCTTTTCCCAAGGGAATCTTTCCTGCCATGGAATTAACTCTACTGTGTACCTTCCAGATCATCTCAAGTTCTATAACCTGCCCCAAGTGCTCGAGATGCCCAGACTTTCTTTCACCTCTCAGATAGCACCCATTTAAGCTTAGCCCAAATAATGAATATTTATGTAGTTAAGACAACATGAGAAATGACCAGAGACAGAAAGTGTGGGGTTTTTAACCTTGCCTCAAACACTGTCCATAGTCAGCCAATGGATTTCATAACTGTCTGTGTTCTGCTCTACTGGCTAATATTTTCAGCTCTTTGTGTATAGAAGTTAAGTCCCAATTTCCTCTAGTGCTTGCTACTCAATAACTGTTTGCTAAATCAAAATGGCAGCTGAGAAACAGGGTGTTTTTCAGTCGAGGAGATTCAACTGAAAGAGCTGTGGCTGTGTTTGACTGGTCAAAAGGATGCAGGTGTAGGTTTAATCATTTGGACATCCATCCTCTCCCCTTAACTTTGCTTAAAGATTATGGGTTTTTTTTCCTTTGTACCCTCAGACTGCTAAATGTTTTAATAATGAGCTTGTGCAATTGGAAGAATAGTTTGTAAAAGAAGAGTTCATTGCAGAGGAAAGGGCTAAATAGTAGTCACTAATTCTTATTTCATTTGGCAAGTTCTCAAATAACAGCAGAAAGCCTTGCCAGATGACTTCCAAGTCATACCTTCAATGCAAAGATGAGAATTAGTCAGCTCTTTAAGAAGGTCTGAGCTTTCTAGTACACCAGAACATGGAATTTAGAATTTGACTACACCTTCCTGGTGCATCATACTTTGGTAAAAATCTTGTCAAAGATGACAAAAATCTGCTCACCTTGATCCCTCTTAGTCCATCACATCTGCTACCATTTATGTGTTCATTGTGCTGACCTGAAATAGCAAGAAAGAATAGAAGACAAAGACATAACTGATCAGCATTCTTAAGAGTCAAATGTTTACAATTTTAATTGACGACAAACACACACTTCATAAAACTATTAGCATGCAACTCCAGCTGCGGAAACTAAACAGCAAAATGCCTCAGCTGATAAGCAGCAAAAAAAGTAAACCAATCACATTGACAAAAAGCCACCATAAACAAAAAAAACTATGTTTAGAAGACTAACAGTTTTGGCATCCATCCCTACTATCAAGTCTTTTGCTTTCTTTTTCTCCATCAAATTTAGCTTACGTTTGATGTTAGCAAGAGTTGCATTACTGTTATTGCTAATTTTAGTTCTGTTTATTACCTTGAGGGTTATATATTGTAAAATAATTTTGGTGCCTCTAGTTAATGTTAATTAGTTGTTTTAATAGCCTATAGACCTATTTGTTATATTTTTTTGTAGGTTTACTTTTTTAACTATCAGGAACTTAATAACGGAGAAGATTTAACATTACTAATGCTGCATAGGAAAACTTAAAGAGTTACTATTAGTGTTACCTGTTTAACGTTTAGTCATCCTGTGAGTCCTGCGACATATTTCCTTAATAATCATCAGCCATCAAGTCTGATAGTCTCAAAAGAAATATCAGCCCTCTAAACTGCCTTCAAGGGCGGTGATATTTAGCACTGAAAATTACAAATAAAGTTTTTGAGGTTGAATAGCAACAACTAGCCATTGACACTGATGATTTGTTGGTCAAACAAACTGTTATAAACTACGCGAATGAAGTCCACGCACTCCTTTGAGTGAAAACAATAAAGTGAATCTACGCAACGCTTACATGTTGGATGGGATATTTAATGTGAGGGGAAACTCAAAGGTTGAAGAACTAGGCATTTAGACAGTGGTAAGTGGTAATCTTACCTCTTTATACTCCATTACTCTTTCTCAGGAGAGACATGCTAGTGCAAACAAGTCAATCAGAATTTGTGTTTAGCAAGATAAAGCTTAGAGGATAGTTTAAAATCCATTTATTATTCTAAATCCATTTCTTCCATTAACATGTTATACATTAGTGTTCACTAACCATGATTCATGTAACAGTTTAGTTTGTTAACTTTTAAATTATTTAACAACCATAAGTTATTAATACATTTTAAAGTATTACACAAATATCTTAAAACAGGCTTGGGTTCATTTTTGTAATTTTTAAATAGAAAACATTTTAGGCATCTCTTGAAGAAGAAATAAAGCAGGCATTTAAAGTTAGAAAACAAGTAATTCCAAATTTAGTTTTTACAAAAGCCTTCAGATTTATTGACAAATTATGGCAAACATATTTGACAAATTGTGGTTCCTATTTAGAGAAGCTTACACATGGAACTTTATGTGTGTTTTTTCTTTCTTTTTTTAAACAAATACAGGTTAAAACACTGAACAAATTCAGTTAGCTGCATACATACAGTAGCTGCTTGTTTTCAACCCCATTAAAACAGCATTTAAAAATTAAATTTACAACTTAATATTGAACATCTCCATCTAACTAACAGATATTAAAAAGACAGGTTAAAACATCTTATCTACAGCTTTATTATCAACTAGTTCAAAATCATATTACAGTTTTTTAACATCCCTAAACAAAGGTTCTGCTAGTTGGTAGAGACTCAAAATCTGCTAACAGATTCATGCTCTTTCTTACAAAAGAAAAGAAAATGAAACTAAAAAGAAAAGGGAAAGGGGGTTTACACACAACAATAATAAAAAAAAACAATCAAGAGTATCAACCTACTGAATGGTTTATAAACTATGCTTGCCAATGTTTGTTTTCAGTGTGTTTTATAAAATAATGCTAGTATCAATGTCACATCAACAGTATAGTGGGGAATACAAGAAATAGGTGGAAGGAATTATAAGCTGTTATCCCTAGAATAGAAAAACAAACAAACAAAAAAAGGACTATTACTTGTCTTGTTGCTGTTTATGTGGACACCACAGGCTATGAACTGTCTTTGAGGAGGTCACAGGTGAAGCGGACCTTCAATATCTACCATAGGGGTGTTCCCTGTATCCCCCTCTGGCTGACCTTGGTGGTGGTGCCTTCAGGCTGGAGCGAGTTGTGGCCCATTCTTCAGGTGCTATTGGTAAGAGAAAGATAGTAACACACACATGACTTCACAATTACATGTTAATAAAGTCATTCAAGAAACAGTGGTCAACTAACAGAAAGATAATTAAATCATAACAACAAGGAAAGCTAAAGCCCTGGGCTGTTTCAGGTGAGACAACTGAGATGAGTGCCCATTTGTTATGCAATGAATTTCACGGCTGCAACATTGCAAGAAGGCTTTAAACGTCATCTGGTCATTTAATCTTTCAATACAAACTCGAAAAACAAAACAAAGCTCATATAGCAAACCAGTGGTTCTCAGCTCTTGGTTCTGTTGAGAATTAAATGGGACTCAAAGCAAAACAACAAAAAATGCCTGGTCCCTGTCCCATAAACTAATTTATTGAAACACTGTGCTGTGCAGGATCTCTGGGTTCTATCTTTTCAGTGCCTCACATTTGGTCCGGAGTTGAAACCTATGATAAACTTCATCAGGCGAAATGAGAGATGAGCAGGCAGGGCAAAGAACAGAGGAACTTGAAGCAGTAGGTAGGCACAGAATGATTTCTGATATTCCCTCTCCCATGAGCCACTCACAAAATAAAGTGGCTCTTGAAAGACTGGGAAGAGTCTTTAGTGTCACAGATCCTAGCCTACCCATCCAAAGCAAAACCCCAAAATAAAAAGCCAGCCAAGTATTTGAGAGCTGTGGGAAATAGAGATTGTAAGTCTGTGTCCCCAGAAAAGGAACTAATCCTTAGCTTGCAGGTGGATTTACAGGAACAATCTACATTACTCCAAAACCAACTAATCTAAGTCCTTTACTCAGAATTTACTTCTTCATAGATAGAAAGCAGGCATGGAGAAGGCAACTTCCAGAAAGAAAGACACACTTACTGGAATCTGTAAGCAGGCATCTCTACGGCCAGCCCTAAAGGACCTGAAGAACCGGTTATCTGGCATCTCTGAGGCCATCTAGAAGACCACCCAGTGGTCACCTGGAACCACCTGTGCATGCTCTGGGTCACCTTATAAGAGAACTCGAGCTCCTCCCCTTTCTCTTTCTTTCCTGCCTTGTCCAGAGATGCTCTCTGGGACCCCTTTCCCTTCCCCTAATAAACCTCCCACGTGGAACCGGTTGCGTGGCGTGATTTGTGAACCTGCTGTGTAACTCTCATCCCGCACTATTTCTAACACTGATAAAATGATGGAAAAGTGGAATCAATGAAAATATCAACTGAAGAATCCCCACTAACTGCAACTCATGTAGGCCCTCTGCCCTGTGGTGCTCCTTGAAATTAGTTTTTAAAAGTTTCTAAAAAAATGGATAAGAAACATTTAATTTTAAATATAAGATAAATAACCTTCAAGTTGTAAAAACAATCAAACATATACACAATATTGGAAAAAGGCTGCATTTAAGTAGATAACTGAAGTATCCTGTGTTTACTATTTAAGACTGTGGTGATTTGAACGAGCTGCCCTCCCTAGGCTTAGACATTTGAATCCTTGGTCAACAGGTGGTCCTGCTGTTTGAGAAGGCTTGGGAGATATGGCCTTGTTGGAGGAAGCATGTCACTAGAGTCGGCTTTAAGCGTGTGAAGACCCCACTTCCCTGCATGGGACACGGACTAACTTGCCAGCTTTTTGATCACTTTCTCCTGGCAGGACTGTGTTGCCAGGCCACAGGGGAAGGAGGAAACAGCAGAAGAGGAAAAGGGTAGGGGGAGGAAGAAGGGAGGGAGAGCAGGGCTGGGAGGGGAGGAAGCACGGGGCTACAGTAATGATGTAAAGTGAATAAAAAAAGAAAGAGTGTGAAGACTTTGCATTGCAATGCATTATCTTTAAACACTGCGTTGCATTTCACAAAATTGTATTCATTTGTGTCTCTCTGTGTGTGAACTAATGCAGTGTTTTTTTTTTTTTCTCCTGCTTCAAGCTGGGGAAATAATTAATACTGTTAGCTTATAATAACTTGAAACTCTGAAGTTAAGCAAGGAGCAAAAATGAATTCTTACTCATCAAATGCAAGTTTTAGATTTTCTAATATTCCTCACCATTAACAGGAAACCAAGGGTTCATGTCTCTTAATTGGGGCCTTGTTTCTGTTTTCTACATAATCTCAATAATAAGAGTGGGTCATGGTTTGAAGAGTTGTGAGTTCTTTTCGTGTCCAGTTCCCTTACTCAGTGTCTTTACCACTGCGGCCATGTTCGATGTTGTTGCCATTACTTTTGCCACATTGTACAATCAGCCACCGGGTAGGTGTGTGCAGTCTACTGGTTTCTCAAGAATCACGGCTCAGTCAGGGCTTCCATTGTCACCACTGCCTGTGTTTTTAAACTTCCCATGGTCAGTCTCTCATTCCTCTTCTTTAATATTTGCAATCCGATATTTTCAATGCAATGATGAGAGATACAAGTGATACTCCAAAGGCATTGTAAACTGAGTCGACTATGGAACCTCAAGGCAGCTAAGAACAGAAACTAGAGAGTCAGAGGAAACATCATAAGATCCCTTTTGGTGGAGATTTTGAGAAAGATAAAGGAATCAGATTTAGAAATGTATTCAGAGTTTAGCTGATCTTTTGGGATTCTATTTACTAAACTCTAGGGTTTTAAAAATATTTTCATACTTAGCACAAGGTTTAGATTCATAACCAATTGTTTTTAGTCCCATGATGTTGTTGGAAGATGTCACTTTAAAATATTCTTACAGCGAAGTTTTAAAAAGACAGCTCTGTCTTCTTGTAAATAACAGAGGAATCCAGTATCTAGGGGATTGCTGTGTAAGAAACACTGGCTGGACTATGGTTATGAAATAAATGAATAACAAATAACTTTTCAGACAGGGCGCTAAGAGCATTTCTGCCACATTGAAATCACTAAAATACCACAGAATTTATTTAAAGATTTATAAAATATGAAATGAATTAATATTTATCTATGAATAACAAGATTATCATCAAACTTTTTATTTACTGAGAATCTCCTATGTATCAGTTACTATCCTGGGTTCTGATGACGAACACAATCAAAGAAAACACAGAGAAGAAGGTGTGTAAAACTTCATAGATTACAGTACATTTAAAACTAGACTTTAAGGAAAATAACCATTAAAGTGGTGAGGAGGAAGCCACTAACTTTCATCATCTAGCCAAACTTAGATTGAATTTAGAATATGTGGGCATCTAGAAAAAGAGATTTCCTGAGAAAATGTACAACCTCATTATGAACTCAGGTAGTATTTAACATATCTCAGGTTATTCTTTCTCTAACGGCTTTCCTACATTAATTATCTTATATCATGTGACCTTATTACTAAAGTGGTCTTTAAGACCTATCAGGAAGTGGACTTTGTACAGTGGTAAACATAGTAGGACGGCATTAAATCTCAAAAATCAATGGTGCTACCAAACAAGAGAGGAATGTTTAAACCAATTATGCAGAATAAATTAAGCATAGGCATTGCTGACAATTTGATTTTGTCTCTGTGTGTGTTTATATGCCGGGAGTTCCTGCCAATCACACAAGAGTCAGGGTCCTTGAGGAACATTTTGCTCAGGTTGGAGTGTAAGTCATGCTGTTACTCTTCCTGTGTGCTAATATTACTCCAATGGCCTGTACTATCTTCATCTCAAACGCTCTGCTCAGCATATTCAAGCCCATTAGTTAAGCCTTGTGAGGATTATAATGTACTCTCATTTCTGCAGTGAAACTAGACAGTTTGGGCAACATTCATAGTGGGAGGAAACTATACTGACAATTTTGAAAGTTGCAAAAAATATTGTTCAAGTTGATTTAAACATTTAGGTTCTGGGTGAGCATGAAACACAGGGACTAGGAAACAGTTTTTAAAAGGCTAGTGTTATTAAAGCACACAGGAAAGTAAAGTTTTAATATCTGGTTCCAGGAAGTAGATTGAAAACTTCACATTCAGCATAGATTAATTTTGAGCCAGTTCAAAAAAGCTGTCATGGAGATTTTTTTCTCTTTTTAATCAAGAGTGCTCAGCAAATGTATTCATGTTTGGTCATGCTCAGTATATCTTTGCATCTCTGAAACTCACCTAAAAATCTCTGGGGGAAAAGGGGCTTAACCCCACAATAAATAATTGGCTCTCATAACTGTTCGTTTGTGTCACATTGCAGAACAATTTTCAAAAATCATAACTAAATTAAGGGTTGTGGTTTGGATACAAAGTGTCCTCCCAAAAGCCGCAAAGTAAAGCTGTAAAGTCTTGCTTGCAAGCTAACAGGGTTCTGAGTTTTGATTGGCACAGAGGGCTTTAACTTTATCAACAACTTAATTCATGAATACAGTGATAGCTGAATGCACTCTAAGAAATAAGTCAGTGAGGGTATACCCTGGAGAGATAAATCCTTCCATTGTGCCTTTCTGTTTTTCTGTCTGCCTCCATTCATTCTACCATCTACTCTGCCACGATCTTCAATGAACAGAAACTCTGAACCCTGGAGCCCGCATGAGCCTTTCCTCCTTTACATGCTTCTTCTTAGGTTTTCACATCTATGAAGACACTGACCCAACAGGGAACTCAAACTGATCTCCCTTGTCAAAATCTGCTTAGTGAACTAGGAATATGACTCCCAAGAGTCGTGAGTGTGTGGCTGAGTAAGGCTTCTCCAGGCTGAGAAGCATTTCATATAAAAGCTCCTTTCAAGTATATACTTACAGGTTGTTTTCAAAGTATTCCCAATGAATGTGATAAGATTGGACGTTTTACAGGTTTTGTAACTCATTATAATGCCACTTTCTGAGGATCAAGTATAGTCTTACAGTATATGACATCAGCTATCAGCACAGTTTTCCTATAAGATAAAAATCCTTTAAACTATGAGGGAAGTATAGATCGGGGGGCTTAGTTTAAGGTGGGGGAGACACAGGTTTCTGCCTTTGTTGTTTCTGGTGTGGTGTGGTGTTTTTAAGAAAGGGTCTCTCTCCTTTTTAGCGCTCAGAGTTACCTGAAACTTACTATATAGCTCAAATTTTCTGTCAGTGACAACAAATT